TAATACACCAAAACCAGAATACTCATCAGAGTTAAAATCAAAGCAATCATCATAATTAACAATAATTAGATTCAAAATCCAGGTAGTCATCAAATTCAAAATTAGGATCAGGATCCAATGTAAAGTCAAAATGACTATCATGTTCAAATTCAACATCTACAGAACATTGAAAATCATCATCAACCCCAAATTCAACAAAATCAACATCAGCATCAACATCAGATTCAAAATCACCCAATCCAAATTGAAAGCAGTCATCCTCCAACCAAAATTACCGCTGGCCATTCCAGGTGCGCTCGGAGACCCTAGAGACAATCAAGGCCGCTTCCCTCCTGGCACCCGAGACCCTGTACAGCTTTGTGGAGGAGTGGCTTAAGAACCAGGTGAAAAAGGCAGCCGATCAGGGCCAGCAAGATAAACAACTGTGCAACCTCTTCTCGCCTTTCTACCTCGAGTGGGAAGCATTGTCTCAGGTGCGTTAGAGAGAGTGTGAATGTACATTTGTGAATTATTTTTTGTTTCATATCTTATTCACTTAAACTTTTTCTTTGAGTTACTTATATCAGTGCCATTAATCCTCTGAATGAGATGTTATAGATGAGCTTATACATTAATTTTATTAATTAGAAAAATCCAGTTATGGGTCAGCTCGCTGTAATTTTATTGATCTACTGAGATAGTGATTGTAGATTTCTCTTAGTAATTTTATGGATTTTCTCAATTTCCATTATGAATAAACTTTTCATGAATTTTATGGGTATACTCAATTTGACACTAATAGATATTCATTATTTTCTTTATGTGCTCAATGCAGGTGTTGGAGAGTGTGATGAGTAGAGTGATGCAGAGTGAAGGTTACAAACCCACAGCAGAGAGTGGGCTGGAGCTGCTGCGTCTGTGCCTCTCGTACCAGACCACAGACCCACTTATTCTGTCCACGCTGCTCTCCTGCATATCAGGGCTCTTTGTCTTCATCCGACTAGTGCCAAGTGTGCTGCCGGATGTTCTCAACAAAATCTTCTCAGCCCTGACGTTCTCTTTGCCTGGCCAGACTAAAGACTCCCGGAGTAGGGCGGTCAAGAATGTGAGAAGGCATGGGTGCTCGCTTATGGTGAAGATTGCACGTAGCTACCCAGACATCTTGCTTGAGGCCTTTGACTTTATCAATGGAGTGGTAGACAGTCTGAGCCACAACCCACAGGAGCTATCCCAGATGGAGAAGGTGACACTCCAGGAGTCCCTCATGATCATCAACAACCATTTCCACAACTTCGAGAAACAGAGTACCTTCATTGGCAAGGTCTTAGGGCCTGTGTCAGAGATTTGGCTTAACATGAAGCAGCCCTTTAGCTCTCCTTTGGATTTCATGTCCTTTGTAGGACTGGACAAGGCGCCTGTTGAGCCCAGTGAGAATGACGTCAACGGGCAGAACCGGGCGCAGATCATCTTCTGCGTCAACCTGATTATGGCTGTGATAAAGCGTTCAGAGTTCCCCACTGACACTGATGTAGCAGAACGTGGTGGGTTTATTCTTGAACGCTCTGATTCTGGGCTGTCTTCTGCCGCAATCCTGCTACCCCACATGTGATGCCCTTGCTACACCAGCTCTTTTGTTTGGTGCGGCTTTTTAATGCACTCTGGCATCCTGAGGCCTTGGCCTGTGTCTCGCCAGGCTATTCCAAGGCCCACAACCTTCCTGAAGCAGAGAGGAATAATATTTTAGGATTAGCAACTATTAATTCATCAGATCCATGTATAGATTTCTCCAAGGTAAGATAGAGATGATTTTAAGGTTCTTTTTAACCATTTGTTAGATATATTTTGAGATAATTTCAGGGTCCATTTACAGAAATATTTGATGGACAATTTAATTTATTGGGTCCCAGAAAGAGCTCTTAAATGCTCATGGTATTTCAGGTTCAGCAACCCCTGGAAAGGATGCAGTTCTTCCTGTCGATGATGCACGACAACTGTTACCACATCCTTGGCAATGCAGGAGTGTCTCTTGGTCTCCAATTCTACCAGCATCCGCACCTTACAGACTACCTGGTGCACTCCTCCCTGGCCAACTTGCACCTCATACCAGATTACCGTCTCCGCCCAATTATTCGCACATTCCTAAAGCCTTTCATTCAGTGGTGCCCACCCCAGTGCTACCAGACAGTGCTCTTGCCCATCCTCAACCACTTATGTCCATTTAGTGAGTGCTATTATTATTTCAGTTTGTGTGAATAATTTTGGTGATGCTATTCTTGTCTTCCATTTCTTTCCGAATCATGACTGTGACTGTGTTCTTCTCTCATATTCCTTATCGTTTTAGTACTGTAGAGCTAGGACAGAAATTGGATGAGAATCTAATGTTCGACTTTCAGTAAAACAAAGAGATTCTGCTTTAGACAATATTTAGAGTCTTTTTTTAAATTTTTTTAAGTAGAGAAAGAAGCAAATAAATAATTAACCTTAGGGAACATCATTGAATGCTTTACCAATATATGATCAT